TCACACTCGCGTTCTGACCACGATAGTCGCCGTTTATCACCTTAGCCCACACTCATGCATAATAATAATTGGGCTTGTTCTGTCCAGCCAATGCACGGCGCCAAATAGATCATGGGCGCGAGTGAAGTAAAGCGTAGCATATGCAGGGATCTTAGGAGCTTAAATGGGGCTTGTTGTCGACGGAACGCTCTCGTACTTGGTCCGGCCCGGCCCTGTGGTCGTTTTGCGCATGGAATGTGGTGCGAGTTCTGACAAAGGTGTACACGTATGCGGATATCAAGCTCCAGTGACCAGGTCGCAGTATCTACTCTCAAGCTTTTCAAGGTGGTATTTGCCCAACAGTCAGCTTCCAGCAAACAGTCTTTGTAGTAGGCCATAATGGCCCATGAAGAAAGAAAAAAATATCATGAACAACACGTGTAAGGTATGAAAAGTTCGTTTGTTTCTATGGTGCTGCATGTCTGGATCGCAGGCAGGATCATATTCAACATGATCGTGAAGATTGTTTAACTCTTTTTGCACTTCAGCCAAGTTTGTCGACAATGAGTCACGCTCCGCGGTAAGCTTGACGGTGAATGCAACAAGATCATCATATTTCTTACGCAATGTCACAATCTCAGCAAACATTTCCTCAGGTGTACCTGGTATGGGGGTCGGGGCGGCTACCTCGAACAGCGGCTTTTGTAGAGGCTCTATGGTACTTTCTGTAGCGAGATGGTATCCGTCTCCTGCACGTGATTCTGGAACCATGAAATCAACGAGTAGCTTTTTGGCGTTTAGCATTCTCTTTTCTCTTTTGCCGAAAAGACGCGTGATGGCCTCTGCAAGCTCAGTCGAGGTCTTGCCTTCAAGCTCTCCAACAACTGAAGCATCAACTACAGAGCTCTGCACCAAAAACTTGTCTGTGCATTTCATCATACCCTTGGCTTTGGCTAGAGCCATTATATCTTTTTTTTTCGACTGGACAACAACAATCGATATTTCAGTGACTGCGGCTTGTCGAATGAGCCCGTGGTTCGGTTTGACAAGATATCGATCTGGGGTGGTAGTTTTCACTTTGAAGATGCAAGGTGATAAGCCAATATTTGTAATTTGCAATTTCGTTTCGGCGTTATCACCTTCCGAGAACACAATGTCCAAGCACTCATCGGGTGAAAACTTCAGCGCCCCATTCAGCATTGCCAGAACTGTTTGAGCCTAATTTGCTTTCGTATCATGCCAGTGCGTCATCGATCTAGAAAAATTTCTACGAGTGGCTCGGTTGAAGAGTAGCCCCAGCCCCCATATATACTTCCGTTCTTGCCGATAAGACCGGTGGCCTCCTGGCGACGTCTGCCCGTTTGTACCCGGGAGCCACACCCCCAGGGCGTCCTTTGGGGGGTTGACATACCGCGGTCTCTCGCCCGGCGCCTGCGTGGAGTCCGAGTCGTCGGAGTATGCTGACTGCAACTTGCCGTGTCTTTCGCAGGCCACAGCGCCCCAAGGACGACGCCGCTGTAAAATGTCAAGGTCGCTATCGACGCCTATCGGGGCCCTTGCGATTTCCTCGGTACCACGTGCATCCCAAACGGCGCCAATCACTATTGGCCAGGGTCCCCGGCTTATCCCGGTGCTTGCTTGTACTACTTGTATAGCCGCAGCACTGTAAGTTCTAGTATGCCTAGAATGGCTTGATTGAGCTCGTTGCATGAAACGCGGAGTCGATTTCAGCCGCACCGATGGGATGATTTTCGAGACAAAGGACCAGCGCGTGGTCGAATTTCAGGGGCGGTGGTGGAGTGGCCCTCGCGCACGGGCCTGCAGAGGTGTGTCGCGGGGGGGCTGCGACGACGGCGCGGTTCTCTTGGACGTGCTTTCATCTGGTACGGCGGCGCCGAAGTTCGACGAAACGGGGGCACCCAGCCGGTGTCAAATTTTATTGCAAACGAACCGCTTCGCGCGGGAACCGCCGTCCACATCGCGTGGAACGCGCTGGTCCCGAAGCGGTTCGGTTTCAACGCAAAACCCGTTCTCGAGCATCCGGAACGACGTTTTACGGCGGCGGCGCTTCCGCCTCGAACACCAGCAATGAACGACCTTCGACTCAGTGAACGAGCCCGTGCGACCAGAGCCGCGCGGGGTGGGGTGTCTATGAACGATCTCCGACGCTGAGCTGCGCCCAAGAGCGCAAAAATCGAGTCTAGGCGGGGGCGCGCGACTCATTTTACCCCTCAAAACCACCCGTTCTCAGCCTGACGCAATCTGTTGCGCGTCGCGTCTCCTCCGAGAGAAAGCTCTCGTTGTGCCTCCCAAGACTTGCCGCGGGGTCCATGCACGCCGGGATAGTCGCGCGACGCTAGGAGCGGCATAAGTAGTGAATTGATCTCCATCGTCCCGTCTTTCGAGCGTCAATTATCCAGGATCTTTGTCGATTTCGCGTTTCATCGAAATTAAAAAAACATGTCCTCGAGAATTACTAGAACTTACAGTGCTGCGGCTATACTACTTGGTAGTAGCCCGACGGCGGGCACTGAGGAGACCGAAGATGGCGAACGAGAGAAACTACGTTAGCTCCGAAATGGACATTACACAGTGCGTACAATTCGCTCTTCCCAATTCGCAAATATGAGGATCGCCATAGGTCAACAGACGTGAAAGTAATCGATAGTTTCGAGGGAATGGCTTTGCGAGAGGATCTGCTGCGGGGCATCTACGCCTATGGTTTTGAACGCCCTTCCGCTATCCAACAACGAGCAATCACGCCAATCGTGGCTGGACGCGATGTTATCGCTCAGTCACAATCGGGTACAGGGAAAACCGCGGTATTCTGTATCGCGATGCTCCAGGTGCTTGAATCTGCAACCAACGAAACACAAATGCTGACGATATCCCCGACACGTGAGCTTGCTGAGCAGACGCAGAAGGTATGTTTGGCTCTCGGTGACTACATGAACGTGCAGTGTCATGCTTGTATCGGAGGCAAGTCAATAGGCGAGGATATTCGTCGTTTGGACTACGGTGTGCAAATTGTTAGCGGGACGCCTGGGCGTGTCTTCGATATGATTAAGCGACGTAACCTGCGGACCAGGAATTTGAAGATGTTGGTCATCGATGAAGCCGACGAAATGCTGAATCGGGGTTTCAAAGAACAGATATATGATATCTACCGCTACCTTCCACCGTCCACACAGGTTGTTCTCATATCTGCCACTATGCCGCAGGAGGTATTAGACATGACTCGTAAATTCATGAACGAGCCCGTACGTGTTCTCGTTAAGCGTGATGAACTCACCTTGGAGGGAATCAAGCAGTTCTTTGTGGCGGTTGAGCGCGAGGAATGGAAGTTTGACACGCTCTGTGATTTGTACGACACACTCACCATCACGCAGGCTGTCATTTTCTGCAACACAAAGCGCAAAGTTGATTGGTTAGCCAACAAGATGCGAGATAATTTCACANGTTTCTGCAATGCATGGTGACATGCCTCAGCGGGAGCGTGATGCCATCATGGCCGAGTTCCGGGGGGGCGCGTCTCGCGTTTTGATTGCGACCGACATTTGGGGCCGCGGGCTTGACGTTCAACAAGTGTCTCTCGTCATCTGCTATGACCTACCCAACAATCGCGAGCTATACATACATCGCATTGGGCGCTCTGGAAGATTTGGCCGCAAGGGTGTTGCAATTAACTTCGTAAAAAATGATGACGTTCGGATCCTCCGGGATATTGAGCAGTACTATTCGACTCAGATTGATGAAATGCCCATGAATGTCGCAGATCTCATCTAAATCCCGGCTGTCGTAACCACCGGCTGGATGGACACTCACACCTGATGATCTTTGGCGAGTGCCGTAGGCTCCCAAGACCTGCCGCAGAAGTACCGTGGACATACTCTGTGGACTTTTGGACGGGACTTCGGAGGCGGACAGTCACAATTATGTTCTCAGATATGCGATGTGCTTATTGAGGCCCCAGTCCTCCGGATACTAAGCCTGGCCCTCCAGGTGCTGAGCCTGGCAACGCAAGGCGGCAAACTGGAATTGCCTGCCCTTGTGCGGCCAAAGCCCCGGCGAAAGCCCCGTCCTGTACAGCGAGGCCCGTCCTACAAACGCCGAAATCGACGCTAGAGAGCAAGGGTGCTGGTATATGCAGGAGCATGCTCAGACGAAGTCTTGCAAACGTCCGAAGCTCCCCGGGTCGTCTTTGTGTCCGAAGTACGATGCTGATAGCAAGATAGTAAACTCCGGGACAGGGAGGCAGCCTAGCGGGGCTCGCCCGCGGGAAACTCGACGCGTTCTAGTTTGGGCCCCGCCCACCCCCCCAGCGCCGGAGTAAAGCCCCCAGCCGCCGACCCAAAATTATCGGGGTCGGTTCGGGTCCCTTGGGGTCCCCTCCAGCGCAGGGGGGGGTTTCTGGACGCGGTTCCGCAGCCGGCGGCGGCCGCGGAGCCTCGGGGCCTATAGAGAGTTTTCCTAGTTAGAGGATCCCGATCCTGAGAGTATCCCTAGTTAGGCTCCTCCTCTCCTCCCTTGTACTTTAATTCTCCACGGTTTATGCGTAAGGAGAGTTGCGGGGCTGAACCTGAAAAGGGAATTCCTCGTAGTCAGCGTAGTGAACTTGAAAAAGGGATCTACCTGAATTGAGTAGCTTCGTGATTCCCCATCATCCCCGTAATTTACATTACCCTGTTCCCTCACTATATCGACGTCACACTATGGAGATGACACTGCACTACCCTGTAACGTTGATCTCAACGTTCCTTAGTACCCTAGTTTGGGGTATCTCTCTCTAGGTTATGGTTGCCCTAGCGCATCCATCTCCGTGAAAGTCGCTGCTACCTGAATTGAGTAGCTTCGTGATTCCCCATCATCCCCGTAATTTACATTACCCTGTTCCCTCACTATATCGACGTCACACTATGGAGATGACACTGCACTACCCTGTAACGTTGATCTCAACGTTCCTTAGTACCCTAGTTTGGGGTATCTCTCTCTAGCCTACTAGAACAAACTAGAACGGTTCTAGTTCCAGTATACGGCTCCGGGTGATGGGAGTTTCTAGCCACGATGCGAGACACAGTTACCGCGCCCGGCCTATCTGGAGAGGCCTCGGGGTGCGCGGGGGTGGTCGACACAACAGGGGGCGCGAGGGGGGGCACAGTGGGCGCGCGACGGGCGGCCAGCGGGGCCGGCGGATCCAGCGGGATTCCAGTTTAGGGCTCGGATTCCGCTTTTCCGGTCGCCGTTAGTGGATGCCGTTCTTGTCGAGCAGTTCGCTGATGTATTTCCTTGCTTGCTCGGTTCCTCGCCAGTTGTTGTGGCGCTTGACTGGGGCGTCCGGGTCGAAGCCGTCAAGCGGGGCTGCCCTGCTGTCCGACTGAAAGGGCCGAAGCCTATGAAATACATGGACGCAGATGGC